GGGTCAGTTTCTGGACTTATTCTGCTCCCCTTGTCCTTATGCCAGTACTGTGCTTTCTAATTGTTGTAGCTGTAGGTCAACTTGGATCAGGTAGTATAAGTACTGACATTGCTTTATTATACTGTACACCTTATAATAGCTGGTCAGTTTCTAAAATAAAAGTGATATTTTTATTGGGATTGCATCAAGTGTATAGTTTCATTTGGGGAGAATTGGTGTTTTTACAGTTATAAAGTTAATATAAATAGTAAGTTTTAAATTTATATTTAGAGTTTAAATTAGTTAATATATAGAAATGGTTATTTTTTATATGTTCATCTTATGTCTTGCACCCTAACTAAACTTACCTTTTAATTCAAATAGCTGGTGTTTGTAGATTTCACCAGATTTTTTGGTATAGATTGTTATGTACTCCTTTATAGTACAGATATCTTTTATTTTGTGCTTTTTCTGCATTATCCTGGCCAGATGTATAGAATAATGCTGAGTGGAAGTAGGGAAAGCGAATTCGTTTTGTTATTCCTCATCCTGAAAATAAAGCATTTAGTTTTTCACTATTAGTGATGTTAACTGTAGGTTTTTTACAAACACTTTTCAGGACTGAGAAAATTTCTTTCATTTGATTGTATAAAGATTGGGCATTGAAGTTTCTCAAGTGCTTTCTTTTTATCCTTGTAAGAGGATGAATCAGGGGCTGACTGATTTCCAAATGTTAGCCTGGTGTTCCTTTAATAAGTTGGTTATCACCTGGCCATTGTCCTCTTGTCACACTTATATATGGTTAGGTTTGTGAAGTGTTTGTAAGAGTTTTTCATTTGCATTCATGAGAAATACTGGCCTATATTTTTCTTTAAATGTCTTTGTCTTATTTTGTATCAGGGTAATGTTGACATACCCTTTTTCATTTTCTGGAAAAGATCATGAAGATTTTTAACTACAAATTTAATTTCTTTATGTGTGTGTGTGTGTGTGTGTGTGTGTGTGTTCAAGTTATAGCATAAGTTCACCTTAAGTGAAGGTTGGTATTTTTATTTTGTAAAAACTTGTTACATTTCACTTGCATGTTGAATTTATCAGAATGAAGGTTTTTTTAAAAAATGTTTTCTTGTTATTTGTTTTTGTTTATTTGTTTTTTTGTTTTTGAGGAAATAACCAGGAATTGAACTCAGGATCTTGTGCTTGCCAGGCAGACACTTGTGCTGCAGAGCTATAGTCCCAGCCTTCTTGTTGTTACTTTTGGTATTTGTAGAAATTAGTAATATGATTTATTTCTTTCCTAATAATAGTAATTTTTTTCCTGCTCAATTTAGCTAGAGATTTATTAGTTTTATTGCTTTCTCCAAGAACCAGCTTTTGATTTCATTAGTTTTTCTTCTATGTTTTTCTATTTTGTATTTCACTGATTTCACTCTGTTTCTTTTCTTCTGCTTTGTTAAGTTAAATTTACCCTTCTTGGGCTAGTTTTTTTTTTTTTTTTAAAGTGGGATGATTAATTTCAGATATTCTTTGCTAATATAAACATTTAGTCATAAATTTAAGTACTGCTGTAGTTGCATCCTAAAAATATTAGTATATTTTGTTTTAAGTCAGTTCAGAATAGATTTTCTTTTATTTCTTTTGACTCAAATGTGATTTAAAAGTTTTTAGTTACCAAATATTTGGGGACTTTTTAGGTGTCTTTCTATTACTGGTTTCAGATTTTGATTCCATTGTGGTTGGAAAACATACTTTTTATGATACGGATTCTTTTTAAATTTATTGAGATAAATTTTATGCCAGGATATGGGGTTATCTTGTTAAATGTTTCTTGTATACTTGAAAAGAACATAAATATCGTTTTGGGTACTATTAGATGAAGAACTATGGTCAATGTCAGGTTGATTGTGTTACTCTAGTATTCTATATTTTTATTCGTTTTCTGTCTACTTTTATTATACATGGATTTTTGGATACAAGTAGGAAGAGGGAGAGAAATTGAATTCAGTCTTTTGGCTTGTGAAGAAGACTAACATGTTCATGACGAATTTATAATTTGTAGATCTTGCTGCCAGGTAACTTGAACCACAAGTGGTACATGCATGATTCTCCCATTGGGCAGCCTTTTATTAATTTTATTAGTAAAAAGGACAATAAAAATGATTAAATCTGTTTGTAGCACCAGTGCTACAAGTCATCTGATGGGATAGTCATGCATGTACCACTGGTGGTTCAAGCCTGTGGGAATGTGTCAGAGTACCTATTGGACATCAGTGAGCAAAGGAAGAGGATGAGCTTTGTGGTATAAACACTGATGAGAAGTAAAGCCATGCTGTTATGTTGAGCTGTAGGGGACTCAGGTCAACAATTTCTGACACTGCCAGTCAAGCGGAAGACCCAATACTATTATGGGCTACTGGACTCCTTTAGAATATTTTGCTGAGTTTACACACCTATAATATTCAAATAACAGAACTTAACGAAAAAGGGGATACAGATGAATGTCCATTTTGTATCTGTGTATTCAAAGCGGTTAGGATAGATAGTTACATTCTCTTAATGAATAGAGTGATTTGTTCTAATGGTGTTTGTAAATAGGATATCATGTCCGCATCTTGTACAGCAATTAACCACTAGGAAGAATGTATGCAATGTGTTAATTATTGAAACTGTCCTACCAATTTGACTTGAAATTGTCTCTTTGCTATTTGTTTATCAATAAAATTATGGGGAAAAAAAAAAGAAACACTGATGAGGGGCAAAGGTTAGGTAGTTATTAAGACTGTGAAAAGAGTTAAGAAACTAGGATTTAAATGGAACTTCTCATAAACGTCAAGCTTTATAAATCAGGGTTGCACTGTTATATTAGGGTTGAGCATCTGCAGTTTCATATCTGAAATCCAAAATGCTTCAAGGCCTGAAATATTTTGAGCACCAATGTGATGGCACAGTGGAAAATTAACATAAGTGAACACTAAAGGTATTGATGAAGTTACCTTCAGGCCACCTGTATAAGGTATATATAAATAAAACATAAATGTGTTTTATGTGTAGACTTGCATCTGTCCAATCTCTAGGGATACCTCATTATGTATAAATATTAAAAATAAGTCCCAAATATTTCTGTTCCCAAGCAGTTCAGATAAGAGGTATCCAGCACTACCCTGAACAATTATATTGAATGGAGACCATAGATAGTTTGACAGGGCAAAAATCAATTGATAAGTAATGTAGAAAGCAGTTATTGGAAGATAAGAGTAATTTTCCTATTTTTGTGAGGGATTTAGTTTTCTGAGCATGGCTACTAACAATTCTTTTGCTAAATAGTTTTATCAACAGCAGTACTATCTAAATGAGTATTACGAGTTATTATTTATCAAATACTATTAAAAGACTACATTTTTATATTTTATCCTAACCACAAGAATGTAAATACTGTTAATATTGTTCCTACCTTACAAACAAATGAACTGAAGGCTAGTGAGGTTAAATAAGATACTAAATCTTTGCTCAACCAGGAAATTATAAAGTAACAATTTGAGCATGTGGTATTTTATATGTATGTGTTAATTTTTGTTTAGATTTATTTATTTGGTACAGGGTCTCACTATGCATCTTGGACTCATAGGGATTCTCCTGTCTCAGCCTCCCCAGCGCTGGGATTACAGGCGTGTGCCACCATGCCCAATTTTAGTGGCTGGCTCAGCTCAGCGTCATGTGGTACCAGAGACTGAACCCAGGTCCTTGCGCTTGCCAGCCAGGCACTTAAACCACTGAGCTGTCTCCCTGTGCATGTATTAATTGATTTTGTGTCTTGATTCTACAGTAAAATAAAAAATACTTTTTATTCTGAGTTTTACACAGATAGCCTTTCTTTAGTCAGTGGCTGTCACAGTATTTTAACCATGACTCAGAACAAGAAATGCATTTTGGAAAACTTAGTTCTCTTTCCCATCTTGCAAGATTTTGGGCGAAAAAAACTGAGAAGCCAGACACTAAAGAGAAGAAACCTGAAGCAAAGAAGGCTGCCGCCACTGATACTAGTAAAAAGGATATGGTGAAGGCAAAAAAAGTCCAAGAAGGGACAGCCCCACTGCAGCTAAAATCCTGTCCTGGTGAGAGGAATTCTTAGATACTTCTGATCTGCTATGTATTCCAAAAAGGCTTTGTACAAAAGAAAGTACACAACTGTTAAAGGTTGAGAAGAAAAAGAAGGAGAAAGTTCTTGCTACAATCACAATACCAGTCAGTGGGGACAAGAATGATAGTACCCAGATAGTTAAGCTTCGAAAAATGCCCAGATACTATTGTATTGAAGATATGCCCTGAAAGCTCTTGAGCCACAGCAAGAAACCCTTCAGTCTGCATGTGCAGAAACTTGGAGCTAGCATCACTCCCGGCACCATCTTGATGATCCTCACCGGGCGTCACAGAGGCAAGACGCTTATTTCAGGAATAAGAAGCTGTGGAAACCCAGACACCAGGAGCATGAGATCTTCGACACCTAGAAGAAGAGATACCAGATTTCAGAGCAGTGCAAGGTGGATCAGAAAGCGATGGACTCACAGATTTTAGCAAAAATCAAAGCTGTTCCTCAGCTCCGGGGCTACCTGCAATCCATTTTTGCTCTGACAAATGGAATTTATCCTCATAAATTAGTGTTCTAAATTTCTTACTAAGAACCTAATTAAATAACTGATATAGTAAAAAGAAAAAGAAGAAAATAAATAAGTGCATTTTGTCCAGTAGCTCAGTGTGTCCATATTAATGTATATGTGTATGTGGGGATATGTGTGTGTGTTTCTTGAAACTATAGTTGGATTTCACAAATGGGTTGCCATCTGTGTTGAAGAACATTGCTGTATGTCGGAAGACTGACAGACAGTATGAATCAGGAGAAGTGGAACAGGAGTTATTTTCATACCTGTAATACTATGTCTGATATAAAGTTGATTGTAAAAAGTTGAGTTCTTTTAAAAGTAGACTTGAGCAGTGATTTTGTTTTGCTTTGTTTTATTTTAAAGCTCTCTGATCCTTCTGATTTACCAAGGAATGCCTTTAGAATTTTTACCATTCTTGTGGAATTTTTATGTATTGAACATATTGATTATGCTTTGGAAACAGGACTTGCTGGTAAGTATATTTGTGGTAAACTTTCTGTCAAAGTCCTTTGATCCTGCTTGTTTAAATTATATGTACAATGTTGTTTCATATATCATCTTTGTATATTGAATTCAGTTCAATGTAATGAGTTTGAGCTTCTATAATGTAAGGATTTGTCAAGTGCTGTAAACTATGTAGACAGGTTTTCTCAGATTATTTCATCCAGTGAGGTACAGTAGTGAGCTACATGTCATTATAGTGTATCACAGAGTATATGACAATGCTATAGGAACCCCTCCGCACCCAGCCTGAGCCTGACGTGTGAGTGAGAACTTCCACTGCACTTTCAGAGCTCCAGACCCAGCCCAAGCCCAGGCCCAGGCCTGTGAGTGTTGGAGAGCCCCCACACTCTCCTGCACCCTCTGGACCCCTCCAGTACCAGCCCAAGCCCAGCGTGTGAGACCTTCAGCCTTGCTCTCGGGATCCCTCCAGACCCCTCCAGAACCAGCCCAGGCCCAGGCCCGGGGTGTAAATGAGAAATTCTACTGCTCTCTTGGGACCCCTCCACACCCAGCCCAAGCCCAGGCCTGGCAAGTGTGAGGGAGAGCTTCCATGCTGCCCTTTGCCTGCTGGATCCCTCAGGACCCAGCACAGGCCCACTTGTGAGTGAGTCCTTCTGTCCTGCTCTCTGGACCCCTCTAGACCCAACCCAGGCCTGGCATACAGGCCTGGGGTAAAACTCTGCAGCTGAAGTCCCTGCACAAAGGCTAGGGGCCAGAACCACCCAGCTAATCCAGGAGCAGAACATCTTGCCAGAGGGGCACAACAGGTTCACTTCCAAAGACTGCAGCAGGAAGAAGCAGAGACAGCAGCCAGACCCAAGCCTGGCACCACTGGATGAGTTCAAACTTTGTAGATCTGCAACCAAATTTCAGTAGGTGCTAAGGTTATAACTGCAACAAAGCTTTACACCAAAGGTCAGGGGACAGTGCTACACAAAATAACAAACAGAAGGAGCAAAATGCAGTCTCAGGCCCCAAGCCCATCCAGAACAAGTGCAGAAGACACTGGCACAGAAGAAATTGGGAATCACACAGCTGAAATGTCTGAAATAATAGCGTATGAGGGAAAGAAACAACTGCAGAAAGGTATAGCAGCACTCAGATCAGAAATAACCTCTGAAATAAAAGAAATCTCTGAATTAATAGTGTTTGAAGTAAAGAATCAAATGCAGAAACAGAAACATATGGAGGAAATCAGATCAGAAATAATCTCTGAAGTAAAAAAGGATAGCTAATGAAAGAATTAATAACTGCTTCTCAAGACATTGATAAAAATAGACGAGATTAGAAAAATGACGGATTCCTTGAAGGAGCAATACAGGAAAGAAATAGATCACATGAAGCAGAGTCAAAGAGATATAGAGGAACTTAAAATTGCGATCACAAGCTTGCAAAACTGTATGAGTGAAAGTGAAGATAGAGTTTCAGATCTTGAAGACTGTTGCAGCTAGTGAAAAGGTAAGAAAAGATCTGTTAAAAACAACTAGGATGCAGGAAAAAATAATACATCACCTGCAAGATGATGCAAAGATGAACAAAATGAGACTAATAGGCTTCAATGAGAAATAAGGAGTCAATACAAATGATAGAAAAAGAATATGGGCAGAAGTAACAGCAGAAAACTTCCCAGATATGGGGAAACAATCTGACATTCAGGTCATCGAAGCATACAGAACAACAACCCAATTAAAAACACACCGAGACATGTAATAGTCAAGATCCCAGAAATCCAGCACAAAAATAATATACTGAATGCCGCTAGAGAAAAGAAACAGATCACTTTTTAAAGGAAAACTTGTCAGAATAACGGCAGACATCTCTTCACAAACCATGAAGGCAAGAAGAGCATGGAGCAGAGCACTTCAAGTCCTCTATGAAAACAAATTCCAGCCCTGACTACTATACCCTGCAAAACTCTTTCAAGTTTGATGGAGAAGTGAAATACTTCCATGACAAAGAACAACTAAGGAATTTCACGACGACAAAGCCAACCCTACACAGGCTTCTGAAAGATGTTCTGGAGAGGGACCAAAATGATCAGAACTCCATGAACGAGAACAGAAGGAATCCATTAAATAGGGCAAACAAACACAGGACAATGCTATAAGTTATAAAATGTTAAGAAGCAGAAATGAAGGTCAGAACTTTTCTGGTTGGGGAATTTAACAGTTTTAGAAGAACATTCAAATAGAAGTCTGAGAACGAACAGATTTTTCACTGTATTAAAATTTTTCTTTTTCTCTCGATCTTTTGGACTTACTAGTTGTATTAGTATTATAATGTTCACTTCCCTGAGTTCCAGGCCTTGTTGATCCAGCTGCCTGATGACCCCAAAAACTGTACAGGGAGTACTTCAAATTTAAAATATACAAAGTAAAACTTTCTTCTATACTTGTTCCTCTCCATATCTTTAAAATACTTCACCATTTACCAGTTGCTCCAGACCCAACTCTAGGAATTGCCTTAATTCTTCCTTTTCATCAGCCTATATTGCCAATCCATTAACAAATCCTTCAGTGTAGTTCCACACTAAGTAAAGTTCATCTTTTCTCCATCTCCATTGATACACCTCAATTTAAATATTGTCATCTAGTAACTGGTTATATACTCTTAAACATTGTCATCTCATGTTCGTGCTTGCCTTTCCAAGATACTGACTTTTTATAATGCCCAATTTAATTATCATTTGCTTGATAGCCTTTATTGACTTAATAGTCTCAAGGAGAAGCTATAACAAACTCTTTGGAGAAACCTGACTTGATTATGTATTCAGCTGTATTTCATACTGCATTTCACCACCCTGTTCCTGTGACTGTGGTCTTCACTCTTGACTTTCTGTAATTGGTGTTCTATATCCCTGACCCCTTCTCTCATTTTGAGATCTCAGCCTGCCTTTCAATCTTTTGCTCTCAATTAAGATGCCATCTTCTTGAAGAGGGCTTTGCTGATCATCCTGGCTGATGTAACATTCTTCTCTCTGCCCACTAACTGACTGAATTAACTTTACTGTCACACTTATCACAGCGAAATGTTTTTACTTGTTCATGTCTGCAACCACCTAGCAGAGTTCATTCATTTAATACTACATGGCTGTTCCTGGTCACATGGAATTTACAGTTTTGTGAAAGTAATAGGTAAATGACGAAGCGCAGTGAAGAAAAATAAGACTAAAGGGTAGAGAGGAATAATCAGGAGGTAAGGTGAATGATTCAGAAGTAATAGCTTAAGACTTCTCTGAGAAGACAGGAGTCACACAGCTGAATTGAGGTGATAGAGTAAATAGTTTAAATAAGAGTATTCCAAGTAAAACAATAGAATGTTAAGCATCATATTTATTGAGTGCTGTATTCTCACATCTAATAAAAGCACACAGATGCTCAGATAATCTTTATTTGCTATATAAAACACCATTCTCTAAAGTTTCAAATGATGAACCAAAATTAGCCATAATTCAGTCACTTTGGCTTAACTGGTTTATTCTCATTTTTTTGTTGTTTTTGTTTTTGTTTTCACATTGCTGCTATCCTGATTTACTGCTGTCTTTTTACTTAGTACTAACTCTTGACATCAAGTATTTAACGTTTGCCCTTTGCAAATGACTTACTGTGGTAATATGTACTGGGATAGTAATGCCTTAAAGATACAAAGTTTTGGTTTGGTTTGGTTTGGTTTGGTTTGGTTTGGTTTGGTTTGGTTTGGTTTGGTTTGGTTTGTTTTGGTACTAGGCATTGAACTCAGGACACTGCTTGCCAGGCAAGCACTTATTCCATTGAGCTATCACCCTAGCCTGATACAAAGATTAAAGAAGATAATGAATTAAAAAGCATGAATTAGAATTTGTCTGCTATGAAGAATTTGATTTTGTGCAGAATCCTAGAATATTCATTTTAGTGGTGGTATTCTCAATTCAGTAGGGCTTAGGAAATTTCCTTGTAGGATAGAAAGCTTAGTGTTTTCCATGCAGTTAGTTAGTACTCACTGCCGTTTTTTCTAAAGTTTATATAAAATTCTGTCAACACATAGAAATGTTACAGTGTACTATTATTGAATATCTTGCGTCTTTCCAGGTTTTTAGATAATAGCTGTTATTATTGTGGAATTTAAGTATTTTCCTCATTTTGAATTATTTTCTTTGGATAGATGCCAGAAGTGAAATAAAATATCAGAATTTCACCCAGTAAACGAGATTACCAGATCAAAGCATGTTTATTTCAAAATTTTGATAGTTTATTTTTTAAAATTTCAGTAAAAACTTTCTCTAGAGGGTTTTTCTCTACCAATTTATACTGCTGCTACCATCTGCCTATACCAGTTTTTCTGTATATTGTAATTCCTTAAAAGCTTTATTAGTTTAGTGGTTAAAAGTAAATAGCAACTGGGTGTGGTGGCTTACTGCCCAGCACTTGGGAGGCTGTATTGAATTTTTTCTCTTTTAATTTATGTTCAAACCTTTAATTTTCTTGTTGATTTTTATCTTTTTTGTGGAGATTAACACCTTTATTTTCCATGTTTTAGTTTTGTTTTTTGAGACTAGTTCTTGCTGTGTATTCTACACTGGCCTTAAATTCACTATGTAGTCTAGGCTGGCCTTGAACTTGCAGCAATCCTCCCATGTCAGCTTTCCAAGTACTGAGATTACAGATGTGTGCCCTCATACCTGGCTGTTTTCCATTTTTAAAACTGGAAAAATTATCTTATATTTTTCGTAGTGCTCCCATCCCCCACCTTTGTGCTGGGTTTGAACCCAGAGCCTCATGCATGTTAGGCAAATTCTCTGTTACTGAGCTATTATATCCCCAATCCTTTTTTTTTTTTTTTTTTTTGGTGGAACTGGGGATTGAACTCAGGCCCTTGTGCTTGCCAGGGAAGTGCTTATTCCACTGAGCCATCTCCCCAGTCCCCTTTTAATTTTTTATTGTCTCTTAATTTTGACATAAATCTCTTAAACTAAAATGAACCTGAAAATTCATCCATTATTTTTTACATATGGGAAGAAACTGAAATCTAGAGATGTCTGTAGACTTTCTTTTTAAAACGTGGGATGGCTTGATCACCATGTTGTACTGGAATTCACTCTGAGATGTGAGGAAATTTTGAGTAATTTTCAGGAAATCGTAGCGTGAGTGAAATGAATACATGCAGGCACACTTCTTTTCTATTATAGCAGTGTAAAGATGAGTGGATAAAGACACTTGAGCCCGGAAAGTCAGTAAGAAAATTATTGTAACTTACCAGACATAAAGAGATCTGGTTATAAGAAAAATGGTGGAACTATATGGCACATGTGGGCACCAGAGAGTTGGAAAGGTAAAGAAGAAGGTAGAACACAGATGGTTTGTGAAATAATCTTTTGGTTTATCTGTGCCAATCATGAATTTGGCAAAAAATTTAGATATGAAAATAAGTTCGTGTGAGTCTATTAAACTACTAAAAAAATTATCATGTCTGCATAATTCATTTCTGGCTTATTGAAATAGAAGTTCCTTTTTATTCATGTTGGGTATCTAAAACCACATTCTTTTCTGTTGTCCAAGGTTAATGACTCCAAGAATGACTGTCATTTTCTATGCTTTTCAATTTTAGGAATTCCTTCCTCAGATTCTAGGAATGCAAATCTCTATTTTTTGGATGTTGTGCAACAGGCCAATACTATTTTTCATCTTTTTGACAAGCAGTTTAATGATCACCTTATGCCACTAATAAGGTTAGTTAAATTTCTATGTTGGTATTTCACATTAGTGTTAATATAGGTAGATTTTTCTTAAATTTTAGGAATAATATGTTTATGAAAACATCAATTAGCCAGGAAGTTTGAAATTAAATTTTTTCTTCATCCTTTTATCCCTGTCTTCCTTTCCTACTATAATGTTAATTTTGGTGTATTTGGAAAGATAATTTGTCATAATTCTGACTTTAAATCTGATGTGAAAGAGGGATAAGATTAATAAAACACATTTTGATGAGGCTAATAGGTTTTGTTTTATATCTTCATATCAATTTCTATTAGCTTTTAAAGCATATGAGATGTAAGGTGGTGTCTCAGTTATTTCCCAAAAAAATACTTATATAAGATATACTGTATAAACAGAAAGGTTTATTTTGGCTCATGGTTCTGGTTCAGGGCCACTTTTTTTTTTTTTTTTTTTTTTTTTTTTTTTTTTTTTTTTGCAGTACTGGGGATTGAACTCAGGCCCTTGTGCTTACCAGGCAAGTGTTTAATCTACTGACCTATCTCCCCGACCCCCCCAGGGCCACTTCTAATGATGGCCTTTTTGGTGGCAGAGTCCTGAGACAGTAGAGGACATCACACAACAACAGACAGGTGTGCATGTCTGTGTTCTTGTGTTTTTTCCTTTTTTTTTTTGTGATACCAGGGATTGAACTCAGGTCCTTATCCTTGCCAAGGAAGCACTTATTCCACTGAGCCATCTACCCGGCCTATCTCTTCCTTTTCTCACATAGTCACCAAGATCCAGTCAAGGGGTCTTTGTACTCATGACCTTGTCTATTCCTTATCACCTAAGGAACCTCATCCCCAAAGATCACAGCTGGATTAAATTTTCATCCTCTTAATCCTTTTGCAAAAGGGACAGAATTTTGACACTCATTGCTTTGGGAGATACTCAAACCATAGCATTGCCTATGTGTTCATCACATTTAAGAAACCATTGTCAAAATCAAGGTCATAAAGATTCTCTCTATATGTAGAATCTGGCCTCAAACTTGCGGCAGTCCTACCTCAGCCTCTGAGTGCTGTGTTTATATAGGATGTTAAAACATTTTGTTATGAATACTTGAATGAGACTAGTCCAGAAAACTATCTGTAAGATCACTCATAACTTGGAATCACACTTCAAAATCAAAATTACTTTTTGAAAAGCTATTATGCCATATAGCAGAGTATTAATAGTTTATTTGCAGTTGCTCAGATGTTGTTACATATTTATAAATATAATACAGTATTATATATAAGTTTTTAGAATTATGCTAATTGATATTTTTCCCTTTTGATATGAAATAGCTCTTCTCCTAAGTTATCTGAATGCCTTCAGAAGAAGAAAGAAATAATTGAACAAATGGAGACGAAATTGGATACTGGCATTGATAGGCAAGTTGCTGGGATTTTCCTCTTGCATTGTTTTAAATTGTGGAAATGCTATCATAACAGCCTGAAAATAATTTTTAGAAAACTCTTAACTCCAACTTATTAAACCATATTCTATATAACAAAACTATACATTACGTTTTTGCGTTGTGTTTTTGCCCATATGCAAATGTTACTTTAACCCCTCATTTTTTTTTATTTCTGAAAGGCATTGTTTAGATGTTTGGTTTTTTTTTGTTTGTTTGGTTTTTTGTTTTAGTACAGGATCTATAGGGTCTCACTACATAAATCAGACTTGTAGTGATTCTCCTGTTTTCAGCCTCCCAAGTGCTGGGATTATAGGTGTGTGTCACCACACCCAGTCTCAATTGCTGTCTTGGCATGCCCCCTGGAAGGGCCAGCACAGCACTCCAGGGACTGAACCCTGGCCACTGTTCTCTGCCTAAGCAGGCGCATTAGCCCGCTGTGTTATCTGGCTAGCCCTGGATGTATTTTTAAATGTAACCTTTTTTTGTAAGCCCCTTTCTATGCGCTGTATACTCACAAACTACAAAGTACTGTAAAAATGATACATAAAGTATTACGTTAAATTTAGAACTTTTTACTTTCACTTATTTTTTACGTTATTAGTACATGTCTGCAATTCAGGAAGTTTACAGTTCTCTTTTGGAATGGGTACATGTACAGCTTGTTTCCTTTCATTCTCTTTCTGCTTCTCCTTCCCAACCCCACCCTCCCTCTTTCTTCTGATTCCCCTGTCCCATGTTTTCATTCCTGTTGGTATTGTCTTAGCTCCTGTTTGTGGCATATAATGTTTATGTGAATTGAGATTATCAGGTTTCTGTCCATGATATGTCTTTATTCTGCTTGTTTTCTCTTCCCCTCCTCCTCACCGTGACCTTGTGCTTTCCCCTTGGACCATTTCCCCATTACAGGAGTCATCTCCTTGTTGCCTTCCTTCTATTCTTATTGTTCTCTTTGTACTTTGCCTCTCTTAAGTGAGAGATATTATGCAGTACTTAAGCTTGTGTGTCTGGTTTATTTCACTCAACATTATATTTTCCAGATGCATCCACTTTCCTACGAATGTCTCAAATCTGTCATTCTTTATTGTTGAGTAGTTTTCCATTATAGTTACTGCCTTTTTTTATCAGACTATCTGGGGACCCGGGAGATAGTGGAATAAGTGCTTGCCTGGCAAGCACAAGGTCCTGAGTTCAATCCCTGGTACCACCAAAAAAAACAAACAAAAAAATCAGACTATCTGTTGATGGATATACAGGCTGTTTCTAGTATTTAGCTGTTACAAGTTGTGCTGCTGTAAACGTTGGTGTGCATTTATTGCCATAGTATGATATCTTAAGCTCTTCTGGGTCACACGGAATTTATAATTTTGGTTCCATAAGAAATCTGCATACTGATTGCCATAATGGTTTAGTAGTTTACATTCCTGTGAAGGTTCTTTTTTACCACTGCCTCACTAGCATTTATTGCTTGATTTTTTAATGATTGCCATTTCTTAGCATTAAGTTTGTGTTTCTCTAATGGTCAGAGGTATTGAGCATTTTTTCATATATTTGTTGACTGTTTATTTTTCTGTCAAGTGTCTGTTCATTTCTCTTGCCCCTTTCTTGATTGGATCTTTAATTTTAATTTTAGGTGGTTTTATGTTTTTGTATGCTCTAAATATTAGTCATCTGTCTGAAGAGTAGCTCCAAATTTTTTTTCTATTCTGTAGGTTGTCTTTCCATTCTACTGATTAATTATTTTGCTGTACAGAAGCTGCCTAGTCTACCATGATCCCATTTGTTGATTATTGGTGTTACTTATGTAGTTGGTGTGCTGTTTAGAAAATCCATTTCTATACTTATGTTCAAGTATTTTACCTTTTTTATCTTCCACTAGGTTTATTGTTTCTGTTTTAATGTTTAGATCTTTGGTCCATTTTTATTTTAATTTAATATGTGCTGAGAGATAAAGGTCTAGTTTAAATCTTCTGCATACACATAATCAGTTTTCCCTGCACCACTTGTTGTGTAGGCTGTTGTCATGACTTGTATCTAGATGTCCCCCCAAAGTCTTATGCAGTCGTAGGTGGGGCCTTTTGAAGTTGGCTGGATCTGGGATGTATGTTGCAGGGATCAACGATGTAATGCTGGGATTAATCCATGATACGATGCTAGGATTAAGGCTGCCCCATCTTTATTCTAAGTGCTACCCCCCGTAAGTGTAGAAAGGATATGATGGACAGAAAGGGATTGCTGCTTGTTGCTTGCTGTTTCCTCATTGCTTTGCGCCTTTTGCCTGCCTTGAAATGTTTCTCCTCTGCCCTGCCCTTCTATCATGCCACCATGCCGTTGGAGCCAACCACCTAGGAACTGAAACCTTGATAAAACCTTTCTTTAACTCTGGGAGTCCAAGTATTTTGTCTCAGAAATGAGAAAAGTCTTTCCTTTAACATATGCTTTTATCCCCTTTGTCAAAAATTAAATAGCTGAATGTGACTGGGGAAGTTTCTGTAGCTTAAAATCTGTTCCATTGATCCATGCATGTTTTTTGTTGTATTACCATGCTGTTTGCATCCATATTGCTTCGTAGTGTAGCCTCGAGGCAGATGCTAGTATGCCTCCTACTTTGCTGTTGTTGCTCAGAATTGCTTTTGCTATTTTGGGTCTCGTCTGGTTCCATAAAATTATATGATTATTTTTTCTAGATATTATCTGTAAAGCATGCTGTTGATATTTTGATATGGACTGCCTTGGATCTATGTAGTAGCTTGGGATGTATGACCATTTAGACATTATTGATTCTGCTTATTCAGGAACAATTCTTTCCATTTTCTGATGTCCTCTTCAGTTTCCTTTTTTAGAGACTTGTAGAGATCTTTCACTTCCTTGGTTAGGTTAATTCCTAGGTGTTCCATTTTTCTTGAAGCTACTGTGGATGGTATTATTTTCATAATATCCTCATCCCATTTACTGTTGGTGTATACAAATGCTAATTATTTCTGTGTGTTGATCTTGTATCCTGCTATATTGCTGAAGTTTGTTATTAATTTTAAGACTTTTTATGAAGTTCTTCGGGTCTTCTGTGTAGAGTATCATGTCCTGTGCAAATAGGGATAACTTCAGTTCTTCCTCTCCTATATGAATCCATTTTATTTTATTTGCAGCATGTGGTACTGGAAATTAAACCCAGGTCCTTGCACTTGCCAGGCAGGTGCTTAGACCACAAAGCCATCTCCCTAGCCCAGTGTGTATCTGTTTTGAGACAGGGTCTCACTACACATTTCAGGCTGGGCTTGAGTTCACTTTGTAGTGCAGACTGGTCTCAAACTCACAGAGATCCTCCTGCCTCTGCTCCTGAATGCTGGGATTACAGGTGTGTGCAACCACACCTGGCTACCTTTTGTGTTGCATTTATGTGGGTCTTTTTTTTGTTTTCTCTTGTTAAGTCTGGCTAGGGGAATGTCCGTTTTGTTTCAAAGAACTAGTTTTTTTGGTTTTTTGGCTCATTAATTTCTTTCCATATTTTTGAAATTCTCAGTTTCATTGATTTCCACTCTCATGTTTCTGATTTTCCCCCTTAATTTGAGTTTTGGGCTGGATTGTTGTCAGATATCTTAAGATTTCTTGTAACGTTTTCTGTTTGCGCTTGCTCTGTTTGCTTAATGTGCACATTGATTTCAGTGAATTTTCCTTTTAAAGCTGTTTTCATTGTGTCCCAGAGATTTTGACAAGTTGTACTGTAATTATTAATAACTCCAAGAAGTTTTTAAATTTATTCTTTGCTTTCTTTGACCCATTGGTTGCTTAGGAGTATGCTGTTAATTTTCCAGGAACTTTTGGGTTTTCCTAAAATTTCTTTTGTCATTCATTTCTATTCTAATGGCGCGGTGGTCTCATACTATCATGGAGTGATTGCTGTTCTTTTATATTTACTTCAGCAATAGGCTTTGTGGACTAGTATATGATCTGTTTTGGCAAAAGCATCATATGCTGCTAAAATAATATATACTGTTTTGGAGATGGAATACTCTGTATATACCCACTAAATCCATATGTTCAAGGCTGTGGTTCCGTCCTGAATTATTTTTACTTGTTTAACTGATCTATCTAAATCTTGGAAGTAACCCAGATGCCCATCAGCTGAGGAATGGTTAAAGAAGATGTGGTATTTTTACACAATGGAGTATTATTCAGCTATAAAAGATACATTTGTGGCTTTGTAGGTAAATGGATGTACCTAGAGACCATACTCTTAAGTGAAATAAATCAGACCCAAAGTTGCAAACATCGTATTGTCTCCTTAGTGTAAGAACTTGAAAGAGAAACTAAAATCTGAAGGGAACAGTAGATACTGAGAAAAGGGAATGAACCTGTTCAAAAGGAAGGAATCACTGAGATGAGAAGTATAGGAGGGAGGAGTAGGGGAAAGATATATCTATGTATGGAAGCAAGACAGTTTGGCTCATTATCGTAGTTTTTTGAGAACTCTTCATATTGATTTCCACAGTGATTGCATCAGTTTATACTCCCACCAGTGGTAAGGAAGGGTTACTTTTTCCCCATAGCTCCAACAGCATTTTTTATTGGTTGATTTCTGGAGTGAAATGGAATCTCAGTGTCATTTTAATTTGCATTTCTCAACTGACCCATGCTGTTGAACATTTTCTCATATATTTATTTGCTGTTTATATTTCTTCATCTGAGAAATGCGTACTCATCTGAGATGCCCATTTTTGAATTGGGTCTTTAAATTTGCAAAGTCTGATTTTTTTGAGTTCTTTAAATATTCTTTAAATTTGCTAAGTCTGAATTTTTTTAGTTCTTCATATGTTCTCAATAATAATTCCTTGAGGAACAGCTGACAAACATTTTTTCTCACATTGTGGTCTGTCTCTGTGGGTGGTTTCTCTTGCCATGTAAAAGATTTTTAATAAGATCCTAGTTATTGGGACTGGGGAGATAGCTCAGTGGCATAAGTGCCTGCCTGGCAAGTGT